AGCTTAGGGCTGGGCGGGGAGCGGGGAGGGGCGTGGTTGGGCTGGGGCGGAGCCAGGCGCACCATCAAGTACAGCAAGAACACCCCAACAGGTCTAGGAATTATATTTGCGGGAAGACCAGAAAGCCGAGTCTCAGAAAGTGGCTTGTTCAAAGTTGCGTGGATAGCTCGAGAGTCTTTGAGCAAATGTGGACCTGATTCCAAAGTCAGCTCTGTGACCCCCCCCGACACCCCGCCACTGTCCTCTAGGGTAAATGAAGTGAAGTTCACACACTTTGGAGTGGCCTGGGTGGCGCTAGATTTTCCTTAGGTTTCCCTCTTCAGCGTCCTAAGAAGTAAGAGGAAGGAAGTTTGTAGGCACCAGGTGTTCTGCGCCCTGGGCCTTCCTTCCACCTCCCTCAGTGAGCACCAGGAGTGTTCATACCGTGGACAGCTGAGCTGGGCAGCCTCTAGCTCTGTGATGTACAGGTCAGTGTATACTACCCTTCTCCATCTGGCACCCACCTTAAGCAGGGCTTAAAGTGCTTGCTGTCAGATAGCCAGTGAGATGGGATATTATAATCTAGGAGACCAGGGCTAAAATTCTCTTGTTTTCTGAAAAGCACTAAAATAGGAACTCTTGGTCATCCTGAATCCAGAAACCCAGGGCAGCACACAGCAAAACAGGGCCTTGGGCTGACAGGGCCTAAGACACAAGTCTGTGTCCTGACTGGGCCCTGCCGCGGGTGCAGGCATGATAGGGGAGTGGGGCTGTTCCTGGAAGAGGCCTGGGTGTGGAGAAATGGGGAAAAATAAGATTTTGGTCTCTCACAGTCCCCCACTCAAGCATTTCTAAGAGCCGAGGTCATGGTACCATGTGTACAAAAGCCATCTTTCTGGATAGCCACCAAGAGCAGACCTAAGCTAAAGACAAATGAAATGGAGAAGCCAGGTCAGGTGCACATGCCTGTGACTCCAGCTACTGTATTTGGAAGGCTGAGGCAGGAGGATCAGAGTTTGAGCCCCACCTTGGTAACTTTTAGTGAGACCTTGTCTCAAAATGCAGCTCAGCTGTAGAGCATCCTTGGATTGGATCCTCAGTACAGTTTTTTTAAATGCCCCCCAGAGGAACAAACCCTAAACCCCAAAACCAAGCCATATCCCCCTTTTCAGAGGTAGCCCAAGACTGAGGTGTTCAGCAAATTCAGAGTTGCAGTAGAAACAAAATTCTCAGGGGAGGGCTCCCCATGAACCCCGTTTCCACCACATCCCAAGTAGTAACTCAGAGGCCGAACATGTGAGACGGTTCTGTGTCTGGGCTCTGCTGAGGGCCAGGCTTATGCAGGGATGGCCAGGAACCCAGCAAGGGCACCACAGCGCATCTCCACGCTTGATTTTGGAGCAAACAGCAGGTGAGAATAGACCGATGCCCATTTGCTCAAAGGTGAGTCAGCGTGACAAAGAACAGCAGAGGATACATGCAATTTCTACAGCAAAGAAGAGTAGCAGGAAAAAGATAAAGGCTAAGAGCATCGTGGATGATTATGTTAAGAATACAAAAGAAAAGTTAAGTGAATAAATACTTTGTATTCTCCAGGAAAGCTTGACTTCCGTGTTCAAAGAACAAAGACTGGAGAGAAGTGGATGGCAGCTGTCAGAGCTATGGGAGATGTGAAAGACCATCGTGGTGACCACGGGAGCGGCAACAACTGCAGTCAGCAATGTGACAACAAGTCAGCAGCTTGGAATACAATAGAGTCCTGCTGCTTCTGTGGAGCTGGCCAAACTACCCTCTTGGGGCAATGGCTACCTGTAGTGTAGACACGAATGTACACTGAGGGTTAGCCAGGGCTGATAGGCTGCAGAGCTCAGCCTTGAAATCCAGATCTAGCCTGGCTACCAAGTACCTGCTGTGAGACACCTTACGAGTAACACTTTCCCATCTTTAGGGTGTCGTTAGAGATATCTAGATGCCATGGCCAATGGCCAGAGGTCGAAGTTAGGAATTCAGAAAGTGGGTTATTCCAGGCGGTGTGAGGAGCTGAGTATTTGCCCTCCAGAATGGGAGGTACGCTGGATACAGTGCAAAAAAACACACAAAACTCAAAAACCTAAATCCCCAAGCAAAGCCTTTTTCCTCTAGGCAAAGGACCAGGAGCAGGGCAGCCTAGCAAGACAGAGAGCTTCAAGGCAATGACTGCCCTACACCAACCAAAGCCCATCACCACACAGGGGCAGCCTGGATTGTCTCCTGCTCAGGGGTCCCGAGCATCACGACTTTCCACCAGGAATAGGTCAGAGAAGCCAGATAGGGAGCTGGGAGTGCCAGCCCCTCCTAGCAATGTCATTAGAGATTCCTGGTCCATCTACACCCAGTATTAACAGGACACCCCAACCCTTCCCTCTGGGGTGATATAAGAAGAGGCCTAGGAGACAGGCCTTCCAACATCCAGAGGCCACCAGAGGAGCGGCAGCAAGGCACGTCCAGCCCTCCCAGCCAGGAAGGACCTCCCCCACATTTCACTGTCAGAGGAAGCCGAGTGGGGACCCTAGGCCTGAGCCCCCACAAGGAAAGCGAAAAGAAGAAATATAAAACAGGAGCAGAAATCATTAAAACTGAAACCAGACAGCAGAGAAAAATCAGTAAAACAAAAGTCTTCTCTGAAAAGATTTTAAAAATTAATAAATCTCTAATGACCCTGAAATGATGAGAAAAAAGTGAAGGAAAGAAGATATGAGTTACTAATAGAAGGAATGAAACAGAGGCACGATTACCAGAAGTACGATAAGCAACTCGACACAGGTACAGTGAGAACTCAGGAAAGAATCCAGTCCTAAAGTGTTACTTAGACTGTTCCATTTATATAAACTTTTTGAAAGGACAGAATTTTGAAATGGAGAACTGATTAGTGGATGCAAAGGTTAAGAACAAGAGGGAAGAAGTGGGGCAAGGAGAATAATTGAGGGAAAAGGTGAGCAGGGGGCAGAAAGGTGAGACAAAAGGAATTAAAGGAGAAATTCTCGTGAATGTGTGTGTGCACGTGTGCACGCATGTGTGCTGAGGCTAAAACGCAGGGCCTTTGCACAAGCTATATCTTTGGCCCTTTTAAAATTTTGAAACAAGTTCTCACAAAGTCCCTAAATTGCCCAGTCTGGGCTCGAAGTTTTGCTCCTCCTGCCTGAGCCTCTGAGAGTGCTGGTGATGCAGAGAACTTCTGTAAATAATCTAAAAACCGACAAAATGTTAAGAAAATGTAAAATGACTTCCGAGGTCTCTAACAGCAATCGGCTTTGTGTAGTTCAAAATTAACAGACATTGGAGGCATTGACGATGAATTGGGACATCTGGCCTCATCCCTAACCTTGAACACCCGCTTCCTGTGCACTAGAATAGATGGCTAGACCAATCTTACGATGAATTGACATCTGGCCTCATCCCTAACCTTGAACACCCGCTTCCTGTGCACTAGAATAGATGGCTAGACCAATCTTGAGGTAAACTCCCTAATTACAAGGAATTGTTATGTCTGGGTTAAAGTTAACTGTCTTATGTGATATAAAATATGTAGGATACATAAATTATTACATTTATAAATTAAACTTTAAAACTTAAGGAACACTACATATTTAAAGTTATTTTTATAAACAAATGTAACTTAAAATCTAAATAACTCTAAGAAGTCTTTTGTGAAAAAGAAATGCTACTCTCATACATGAAAAAGCCCACACAGAAAACTACATGAAAGTCAAAGTAAAAGCCAGGCATGAGAATGCACACCAATAATCCCAGCACTCAGGAGGCTGAGGCAGGAGGATCACCGTGAGTTTGAGGCCAGCCTGAGCTCCACAGTGAGTTCAAGGCCAGCCTGAACTACATAGGGAAACACACTGTCTCAAAAAACAAAAAAGAGGATGGCAGAGTGGTGAGCAGCAAAAAAAGAACCTCTCCTGGATTTGGTGTCCTGACACTGGAATATAGCAGTGTGAGGAGGAGGAGGAGGAGGAGGAGGAGGAGGAGGAAAATGGGTCTCCGGGTCCCAGAAAGCATCTGAAGTGAGAATTGAAGTCCACAGAGAGACCCTAGAGAGAGACTTCAACAAAAGAGAGTATAGAGGGCAGGTGGTGCTTTGTCCCAGAGTCTGGACTCACAGCACGGGAAGGGCAGATCGGTCCTGGAGACACATGGTGACTGCTGGAGACCCTAGAGGCCTCCATGGAGAAAAGTACCAGTGCACACAGAGAGAGAATTGCAGTGGCTAGTGAGTTATTCGGGTTCAGACATCTGGAGAAGGCAATGGCAGGGAGTCATCTTAGAGAGGGGCCAACTGAGCTCGGAACCCAGAACAGCGAAGGCCAACTCCATCTAGCGGCTCCTGATATCACAGTGAGTGTGCTGAGTTCAAGCCAGCAGGAGGCACATGAAGTGCGGCAAATTCAACAAACCCAGTCCCAGCATCATAGCCAGAAAGCAGCCTGAACTTCAGTGGAACAAAAGGCCCAGGTTTGCTGGGATTATCTACTACCCCA